TTGTTTTCTTCATTTACATACATCTACGTCGTAAAACCGTATAACACTCATTTGAAATAGTCAATCATAAATAATATATGCAATGGTGTAATAAATCATAATGTCACATTTTATTTAGTGTATTATTTTCGAATTTAGAAATAAAAAGGATAAGTAAAAAAGCCAAGTTTTTTAAACAAATACTGTTTGTTTCTTAAAAAACTACCAAGTACGTATGGTTATTTTTAGGTCTTTACATGTTACCAAGTTTTGCTCCTAATTGTAATTATTAAACAAATTTTTTTAGCTCGTTGAACCAAAACAATCAATATTAGTACCTCCATTAGTAATTTCTTTAAGATATACTTATATTGAATGATTTATTCAATATAATAATATACTCCGTCAAAGTATAGAATATGAGTGAACATTAATGAATATTATGAACTATATAACAGGTCAAAGTATAAAATATGAGTGTAATGACATTGAACTGAGTATAAATTATTCAAACATGCAATCTTATTTAAAAAAACAAAATGAATGAAAATTTCAAAGTTTTAATTTCAAACACCAAAGTCATCAAAAATGATAAATTAAAAAATGTCTAACATGTAAATCTAATCCCAAAAACTGAATATTACTCCATTTAATTAATACTTCTAGTCTTAAATTTTCTCAATCTTAATGGTCTTCATCTTCTTGCTCGGTTCATGATCGTCTGCATAGTCAGATTCAAACTCTTCGATTCTTTTGCCAATATTAGAGTCGGTGATATCATCTCCTAGTCGTTCAAACTGTTTATCTTTGATTGCACAAAATCTTCAATCAAATTCTGTAAGACAAAGAACCAAGAATTTAATGCAAGATACATAACAAATCAGAAATGCATTGAACTAAAATGTGACCTTCAATGATGATGTATCATTGCTTTCGGAAATCGTGCATAATTTGGTTTTAGGTTGGAACATTTCTATTCACTACAAAGCATTTATTTCTGTGTGACTTTTGCTAAACGGGGCAAATCAATGGTGATAGTATAAACTTTTTCCTATTAACTCACATATGCCATGCCAAAAAATTAAAAAATTGAGCAAAAGTTAAATTACTTGTGCATTTTTTTAGAGTCCTAACCTTGACACATGATGATGCCTCGCCCATGGAGAAGGTATGCTGTGATGATTTTTCTCCAGTTGAAAGTCCCAAAGTCACATCAATCTATTAATAATAATCAGTCTATTAATAATAATTTACCCATTAAGCATTTTATTTGCATCTTAAAATTATGTCTTATTAGTAACAGAACAAAATTTTCACTAAGTGATATTTACATTCGATTAATAATGTTCACGAACCTGGACGGAGAAAAATGTTGCATGCCTTTCCCTGAATCGCGAGATTGTTCTTTCATCAAAACAAATGTCAATGACATTATAGGTAGGATCAAAGTCATTGAACTGAGAATGCCTAACATCAACTTTAAAAAGATACGACTTATCTATCAAGAGTTTATTAAAGACATCGGGTTTTATGTCTCCACTCGGCAGATTCTGTATGAACAATTACAATAACCATTAGTAAGAAAAGCAAGCAGCAAGAACCAATGTTATATGTCTCAATGTTTTCATTTTGTATTTATAACATATTGCAGGGCAAGTCCAAATTTAAGGGCAGTCAGTTTCAGTCAGTACAGAGGAGTATACTGCTGAATATTTTTTATTTCCATCAATGTCTTTAAACCTGAGAAGAAGCTGCCATTCTAAGCCATCATTTTAAATGATCAGGAGGAAAAAGAAAAATCCAGGTGCAGTATTATTCAGGCAGTGCATCTCTCATTGTTGTGTCAGTTTTACATTACCTGATAGGTTATTTAGTTGTGCATGTTTAAACTTTGGCAAATACATTTCTATTGCTTCCCACAAAGTTGTGTTGTGGTTGTTGTATTTATAAAATGTTTAATTGCAGAGCCCTCACATGTTGTGCGATTTCAAATTACATGGAATTAGAGTTCAGACAGTTACAAAAAAATCAAGAGTAGAAGATTTTAAGACAATGCGGAGGAGGTATTGAGTATAGTGTATGCTTAAAAAATGCTTAAAGAAGATGTCAAGAAACATAAAGTCAGATGTCATTGTTCTGTCAATCTATTCGAGACCAATTATGAGACAGTGCATGTTTCTATTCTGTCCATATTTTCCTTTAAAGAACTACGGGGTTTAAAATAGTTCAATAAATCACGATGATGAATACCTCAACATGTGTCAAAGAATTTAAATTTGGTTTTAAAACAGGTGTAAGATGAGCTGTTATAATCACATATTTATCCATACCTCAGAATATTTCAACATCTCCGAACATGATTTGTGGAGGAGCAAGCATGCAACGCTTTCAAGTACTACGAAAGTAGCACTGTCCGTGGTGTCGACAACTCTTGTCTTGATTCGATACCTGAATCATAATTGTTTTTCAGGAGTCAATTAATAAAAAATTGTTGACATAAAGCATTAAGCATTGGAAATTAGTAAAAACCAAACCTTGGGATCAGATTCATCACTCGTCTCTTACACTCATTACAGTAGTAGGATCCACCGCGTGGGACCACTTCGGACCCACACCTACACACTGTTATAAACCAATCAGAATCAACATCCTTGATCGTACCGTATACTGCATATTCACCGTCCTACAGATCAAAACACACTTAAGTCACTACATTACCTGTAAAGTCAGGCGCGCGTGTTTAGTGTAATATACTCATCTAACCTCAATACAATCTTTCAATGTATCTATTGTTGCAGCCTTAGTAAGTTTAAGAAAGTCCTCATCCACTGAATAAAGTAGCCCATGATTCATTGAGGTATTTTTTATATCATGGGGCGAAACACCTTCTAAATATTGAGTCAGGATTGTTGCATCATGACACACTTTTGATACCCTGAAAGATTGTTCTAGACGTCCTCTGAACATCGACTTGACTTCGACCTTAAATAGGAAACTCTTACCCATCAAAAAATCAGCAAACTCTTTTGGACTTTCAGTACTTCCATCCTTCAATTGGTGTAAAATAAGAGTC